AGGGAAAAAAAGACATTTACTTGCATCGCCTGATGTTGTTTTTGTGGCATTTGGTTGCCAGATTCTTGAGGGGCTCAAAATTTTCTTCAAGTCTTTCAAGTCGGGCTCGGATGACCTTTCAACTTCCTGGTCAATTTGTAAGAAGGTCAGGCTGTGGCTGAACTCTGAACTCTGACCCTTCCCAAAAACAAACCACCCAATGCCCCCCCGCTTCTCTCTAGACCCAAAGGTTTGACCTCGGCGGAAAAACAGCAAGTGGACGTTTTGCCTTTGAATTTTGGGCTCAGGCCCGTGCGCGGTTTTAACTGACTGGCCACCACTTCTTGTCAATATGCCGCCGCGCTGTTGTTTGCCGACATGCGCCCTGACATTGGCGACCAATCCATTGTCTGTCAAAATCTAACCCAACAAATAAACAAAAGGCTCGCATGAGAGAGGCGTATTGTGTGTGTGTGTGTGTGTGTGTGTGTGTGTGCGTGTGTGTGTGTGTGTGTGTGTGTGTGTGTGTGTGAGTGACAGTGTGTAAACGAAACCTCCCGCAGGGGACGGCGGCAGTCCAAACGTTGCCTTGCCATCACTTGTCAGGCCTGCAGGGCGGCGCCACATCGTCCTGACACGCAACATGTCAACCGGACGCCAGAAAACGGCGTCCCGCCCGCGTCCCGATGCCCACCGCCGGAGACTTGGCGCCCCACGTCCAAACTCTGAACGGCCTGTCGCTTTATTCCCCCTGCCCTCCCCCCGAAACATTTGAAAAGAGTCGTGTGTGTAAAACGGTCGTCCATTTTACATCTCAAAACGTGACACAAATCAGGAATTTGCGAAAAAACATGCAGAATGAACTTTTTATATCAAAGTGATTTAAAAGCTGCCTGGAAAACTGAATGATGATTTTCGAGATGTTGTTTTGCTCTGGGAAAAAAAATAAATATTTTCATTCAAAATATTGTTCAACGTATTGATTTAACAATCAGTTCCTTTTTCATCAGGTTTAGTTTGGCAGGAGTTCCAAACGAGAAAATAATTGATCTGGAAAAGTGTCCAATAAAAATAAAAAAATAAAAAAAATTGTACCAAAAAAAAAAAAAATCAAATAAAAACTGCAACACGAATACAAAATGTGAAATTTTGGTGAAGGTGGTCATTGAAATTTTAAGTCAGCAGAACAACGCCGACTGAAAGCAACGCCGACCAAACTAGCTAACAGGAAGTAGGCAACAGGAAGGGCACGTTGGGAAATCGACCCCAAGCGTGCACTGTTTCACTCCGACCGTTCGGAAACTCTGAGCGTCGTTGAAATGTGTTGGTGGGTTATTGCGAGATTTTGAAGACCGCGCGCACGCGATCCGCCATGCGCTCGCCACCTGCGTCAGCCGGCCCACATGGAAACACTCGAGTGCTTTACAGCATAGGCTGCGTTTGCAAAGGAACGGAAGGCACACACACACACACACCCACACACACCCACACACACCCACACACACACACACACACACACACACACACACACACAATTTCCAAATGCACCCTCCCAAAAGAGACAAAATGAAGTCCTCCGTCAATGTTAGCTTGCTGCTCTCACACATCAGGGACTTCTTCTCGACTTGAACTTTATTGCTTTCTCTCCTCTCCACTTTTTTTTTTTTCGACTTTGCGTTTGATGAACGGAGCGACTCGAAATAGCCGAGCTGCACCTCTCCTCCTACTTGGATGAGCCAACGTGTGCTGGCCTCTTTTTTTTTTTTTTTTTTTTCTTGAGCCTCTTCCAAGTAGGCTCCATTTAGGAACTGCTTCTAATCACTTGTAGCCGACATCAAGTCGCCCGCTGTCGTTGGCGAGTGGGAACCAGGCGACCTTTTCTGGCCCACTTCGACTAGCTTAGCGGAAGTAGGTAACTTTTCGCTAAATATTTGAACATTAATAAAAATTGTGGGGGTGCTTGGTGAAGAGAGTGGGCGTGGTCAAAGCCAGGGAGCTGCGATCGCTGCAACTCTTCCGACTCAAACAAACAACTTTGTTCGAAAAGCCGTTTTTGTACATGTGCAATGAGGCAAAGCCACCGTGAGCAAAATGTTTCTCGCCGGAGCCTCTCGTTATTTTGTTTTTTACAAGCAAAAATGCTTTTTTTTTTTTTTTTTCCGCTGCTGCGTGTGGATTTGTGACCACAACAAATTGCTACGGCCACATTCCTCAGGTGACGACTTGGAAACATTGTCGGCCGACTACACAGATCGCCAAAGGTTTTGATCTCTTCCTATGCGGTCCCCACATTCTGGAAGGAAAAAAAAAAAAAGCGAGTCACCTTTTCAGCTTCAAAATGCCTTTGGACACACACTGTTCCACATCATTTGAGATGTGTGACGGCAGGCAGGAGGTGGAAGGCCCGCGCGCCGGTTCTTTCCTAGTCGTTGTCAGTCACAGCAAATCTGGCACGAAAGCTCCTTTTGAATGGGAATCGGAAGTGCGCCCCAAAAATGGCAACCGGATTTCTTCCGGAAATGCTTCAGGCCCCCGTCGCGCATGCGCAAGCGAACGCCCGTGTTGGCCTATGTCAGGTCGGCCCGTGTTAGCCCGCTTCAACTAGCCAACTGCACTTAGCCTGTGCCAGCTAGCTTCTCCCTCCCCAAATTTGGGATACCATACAGTCGAATCCATCTTTATTGATATTGCGCTTTCACAAACGCTGCAACAAAGTGCTTGGCGAGCCTTCAAGAACATTGGAACAAAACAATTCATCGACCACAACAAAACTGGTGGGAGCATTCCTGTCGAAAAACATGCCCCAAACGCAGCAGACTCGAAAGCCAATGCATCCAAGACGCACAGAACAAAAGTCAAGCAGCCAAATTGCACGCAAAGACACAAACAACCCTTGCAATTGTTTAAAAAAAAAAAAAGTTTCAAAAATTCATCAGATTTTTTTTGTTTTGTTTTGTTTAGTGTTTTGGTTGTCATTTTTTTGCTTTGCTTTTGCATTGCCGCTGCCTATAATAATAATGTTTGATTTCAAAACAATGAAATAACACAAATTTGTGCAAAACAATGTTTTCATTTGTTTTTGCCATTTACAAGATAAACAAAATTTACACAAAATAACAATAATAATAATATTAACAATAATAATAATGATAAATCAAATGTTGGACTAATTCTTGCTTCCACTACATTCAACACATTTGGATCATGATGTCTTTATTTATTCATTTACTTATGGCCAGCATTATGTTATGTCTGAGTAGTAATTATTATCATTATTATTATTATTTCATATCATGCAAGTAAATGTAAAGTTCTTCTCTGAAAATAGGAGTTGAATGTTTTTGAGCAATGAATTCCTCATTTCCATGTGCAGCAACAGTTTCCAGTTGACCGGAAATGGAAATTGCTGATTTCCAAGCAGCATAACGGTCAGCCATTCTTGGGAATTCCCAGACAACACCCATCGTCGTTGCATGGAGCCATCTTTCAGCCACTGAGAAATGCCTCCTTCTTGAGACGAGAACTTTAGAAGTCCCCAAAGTTGCGATGCACAAGAAAAGGCCGGCAAATATCAGGTTGAATCTTCACTCAATAGCATTTGATATTTTTATCATAAAATTCATTTATGACCTTTGTCAGAATTAAAAAAAAAAAAAATAATAATAATACAACAAATAGTCAGGCAAACACACACTCACACAAACACAATGTGCCTGCACCACACTTCATTTGAAAGTAATTAGAAAAAAAAGGATGTTTATTTTCATGTCATGGAACGAACGTTTTGAAAGTAAATGTTTGTGTGGAAAATTTTGAAATGATCCTCTTGAAATATGATTTGATATTCTCGCACACACACACAAAAAATACCCTTCCAAAATTCTTCATACATAAAGGGGCAAAAAAAATAGCACATTATCAATTCAGCAATCAGACAATCAACTGAGTTGTTCCTTTTTAATCAAGCTGAGTTTGTCCAGAGGAAAAAAAACAAACAAAAACAACAAATGAGACATAAAGAAAAAAAACAAAAAAACGTCACATAGCAAAATTAACCCTAACCACAAAAGTGCCAAGAAAAAAAAAAAAATCTAAGATTATGATGAGTTCCAATAGAGAAATCAAAGACATAGATCAACACTTTGTGCTTTTGACTTTCCGGATGTCAATTGGGAATTTCAGTTTCGCCCAAAATGATGTGACCACATTAAGAAAAAAAAAAAAAGAATCATCATCATCATAAGAAGCCAATTCAAAATTGTCGAGATTATTTGTTGTGCATTGACGGGCCAACTCAAGCGTTTTGATTTTCTTCATTTCCACATCTTGGCTTGCAAAAGTTTCTGTGCAAACACGACCACAAACTTAGTCAGGAAAATGTCCCCTAAATCACATCACAAACCCACAACTCGTCTGTTTGCTCTTCAGGGGAGGATACAAACAAGTTAATTCAACATGACCAGTAGTTCAAGTGTAAAAAGAACCAAAGCAAATAATTAACGTCCTCTTGATGCACATTTCAAAACTAACAACTGCAAATTGAAAACAAAACATTTCCAAAACATGAAACTCTTCAAAACAAGCATACCATATGCCGACCCTATCGCGTTTCCATGGCAACGCAGCCATTTCAGGTCATGAGATGAGATTCTGTGTGTGTGTGTGTGTGTGTGTGTGTGTGTGTGTGTGTGTGTGTGTGTGTGTGTGTGTGTGTGTGAGATGCTCAGGTAAAAAATAGTCAGTGATGAAAGTCGAAAATACGATATATATATGCTGTATATTATATATAATATGTAGACATATATATACATATATATATATATATTCAGATATAGATATAGACATGTATATATGTACATTTTCTTTTTTTAGTTCAGCTGCCATCAGTGAACATGATCGCACGCATACACACACACACACACACACAAAAACACACACGCTTTGCGTTTTCCAGAAGAGAAACGAAAAGGATTTCTTTTGCTGAATTTCCCACACACGATGAGTTTTGTTGTGAACTTATGAATTCTGTAAATTTACATTTATTGTTATGATTATTATTAGCATTATTTGAGGCATATTGACCTGAGATTTCAACAAAAAGAAAGATGATTCCGCTCTTTCAACCCCTGATTGTCTTCGCACATTTAAGGCTTACTTCTGAGTGTGATCATGAATAATAGTGTTGGGGAAAAAAAAAAAAAAATTCCTGCCCAAAAATTGTCTGCTGCAAATCTTGTGAATAAATAATAAATGTTTGTCCGCATCATTATTACACGCACATTTGAGACGTTTTAAATTACAATAAATACAAAAGGTCCTCATAAATAAGAAAGACGTGGATATAAATATACTTTAGTGTTGTTTGTTGTTGTGCAAGCAACTTTGTCCCTTTTTTCCCCGCAGTAAAAAGTTCCAGATCAATCACTGGAGGGCACAACCAACTTCCTTGTCGCATATACTTTGAAATATAGGTTTATCTCTTCTTTTTTTTTTGTGTCGCTCTGCTTCGCCCTCCGCAGGCGGTGAACAAACGAGTGAGGAAGGGATGAGCTTTGCCTTTCAGTTTAGGAAAGCCTTGGGGGCGACCCTCTTCTGGTGGCCCAGCACGCCGGGGAAGGCCGCCGCCGCCGACACGCCGGACTGCGAGAAGGCCGCCGCCGCCGCTGAGCTGCTCCTCAGCGAGTCCGACAGCAACGGGTGAGAGGGCGGGGGCGGGGGGCTGCCTCCGCCGCCGCCGCTCGCCAGCGCTCCGAAGCCGGCGGCGCCTTGCTGCAAGTGCGGCGGCGGGCCCTGTTGGCTCCCGGATGAGACGAAGTAGCCGGCCGCCGCCGCCGCCGCCGGAGCCTGCGCCGACAGCAGGCCGACGCCGTATGAGTTGGTCAAGCCGCCCTGCAGCACCGAGCGGCTCAGGTCCCCGTTGGCCAACTGCTCGACGCACGGCAGCAGCGAGCCGTAGCCGGCCGCCTGGCCGAGGAAGCCCGCGGACGAGGCCCCGTTGTAATGCGGGTGCGGGTGCGAGTGCGGGTGCGGGTGCGGGTGGTGCAGGGAGAGGAAGGGCGAGATCTGCCAGTAGAGCGGGTTGGACGGCCGCTCGTTGACGCCGACGCCGCCCAGGCCGAGCGGGGCGAAGCGCAGGCCGCGCTTGATGGCCAGCTTGCCGCGCGACGTGGCCGAGCGCCGGCGCAGCTTGCCCGTGGTGCCGCCGATGAAGACGTCGTCGCTGCTGGGGTCCAGCATCCAGTAGTTGCCCTTGCCCGGGTCGTCGTAGTGGCGCGGCACCTTGACGAAGCACTTGTTGAGCGACAGGTTGTGGCGGATGGAGTTCTGCCAGCCCTGCTTGTGCTCGCGGTAGAAGGGGAAGTTCTTCATGATGAACTCGTAGATGCCGTTGAGCGTCAGCCGCTTCTCGGGGCTCTGGCGGATGGCCATCATGATCAGCGCGTTGTACGAGAACGGCGGCTTGTCGTACTTGCCGTTCTTCGCCGCCGACGACGGGCCGCCGCCGCCCCCGCCGCCGCCCTCGCCCTCCTGCTCCGTCGCCTCGCCGCCCTCCCGCAGCGCCTTGTCCGGCTCCGAGCCCCCCGCCCCCGCCGGACCCTGCGGCGACCTCTCCGCGTCCGACCCCGGGGAAAGAGGCTCGTGCAGCGGCGTGCCGGAAGCGCAAGAGTCGCCGCGGGCTTCGCACTTCGTGGACGGCAGCAGGAGGCTTTTGATGCTGAACGACGACGAACATCGCACCGGCTCCTTGGCCTCCTCAAAACTTTCCCGCGCGAGGCGAGCCGCGCGAGCCCGCTTTTACGCACCACCACCGCCGCCACAACAAAAGTGCCGTCCCGTCCCGTCCCGTCCCGTCCGTTGCTGTCCTGGCGGGAAACTACTGAGTGACAGCCACGGGAGAAAGGCGCGCGACCGGATGAGAGAAAGAAACGGGGAGAGAGAGAGAAAGAGAGAGAGAGAGCGCGCGAGAGAGACGGGGAGAAATGAGTAATTAAGGAGGAGCTTCAGCAACAACTTCTCTTTTCTTCTTTTGCTTTTTCTTCTTCTGTGCGTCTCCTGGCGCACCCCCCAGAAAGTCCAACGTGCGTGACGTCGACGGGGCCGCGCTCCTGCGTAAAGCGCGTGCACGTCGGCCGGCTTTGTTTTCTCAAGCACAATCATCATGTGGGCAAACACCGCGCGTGCACGACCCCTGTGCGCTCATGCGTGTGTTTGGGTGGGGTGGGGGCAACACACAAGCGCGGACGCGCAAACATCACACATGTACACGGGGGATGCGCGGTCGATGCTGGGAAGTTGGCGCCTCTCTTTGGCAGAAGCTGGTACTGCACATCATTTGCGTAAGCACGTTGACGCTCAACAAAAATGTTTTCGTTTTTCCCCCTATGAACTCAAAACAGATGTTTTTGGTCCCACATACACTGACCACCCCCTCCCCTATATTTCATACGTTGTTATTATTTTGGTGGGGGGGGGGGCTCCCTACCCCATATTGACGGTATCTCTCACAATCGCCCACTTTTTTTTCAGGAAGAAATTTTTAATAAAAAAATACTGTATTTCGTCCAGAAAAAAAAATAATTCAGGCAGAAAATATTCCATAAGGAATTATATAAAGACGAAGAAAAAGTTGAGCACATTGGTAGGATTGGATCCGCCCAAAATTGTATGACGTTTTTTTTTCCTCACCCCCCATCCCCCTTATGGCAGTTGTACTGAGCGCCAGTTGTGATTACCGCCTGTGCCCGCTGTCAGTCCCATCTTCACGTGGACTCATTGGAGCCCAAAACGTGGCGCCCGCCTCATCTTGCGTTCCAAAAAAAAAAAAAAAATCAAGTCCGATTCATTTGTTCATGCTCTGCAACTTGCACGTCCACGTTCGCTCGTCATCGCTGTTTGTTTGCACTCGTTGCACATTGTGTATGACAACACCGCTCAAATCCAGATTACACACACACACACACACACACACACACACACACACACAGGTCACCGTGTGGTGTATTAAATCTCTGCTGCCTGTGTGTGTTTTGTGTGTGTTTGAGACAGATGGTGTTTCTGTTTAACTGGATGTGAGCCCCCAACAAAAGCTGCGGTTGGACCCCATTCACAATTATGATACCCCACACACACACACACACACACACACACACACACACACACACACACACACACACGCAGAGTCTTTTGAATTCTGCGTTCGTCAAATGGGAGCAGATGAGGGTACGTGTCCTCAAAGTTAAACTGCATAGAGAGAAGGATGCAAGTGTGAATACTCGTTTCGTCAGAGAAGCAGTGCAGCTAACAAAAAATTGAGGCGGTCGGTTGAATCTGAAACTTCGGTGGTGGGCAAGGCACTCCAGACGCACGAGCATTTGGATGCAAGGCCTTCAAAAAATGTGCTCAAGAAATTGCACTTTGCTTTCATTGTTGTGCAGTCGGCGCACGTGCAAAAGCAGAAACGGGAAGAAGCTCGTCACGCTTTGGTGCCCAAACGTAGAAGGCGAACGGTCGGAGGCCATGTTGAGCTGAGCCACTTTTTCCACCAGCCGATGTTTCCAAAACATCATCGGCACGTTGAAGACAGTCCAGTCCGGCTGGAAGCTCCTTTCACGCGGACCATGTCCGGGCCCCACCGAGAACCCAGGACCTTCCGCGCCTTCGGGACCACATCAATGACGAGTGAAGGGAACAAGGTGCCACACCACTTGCAAAAATGACAACAAAAAAAAGTTTCGCATTCCCCACCGTGAAACATTTCACAAACTATCATCCCAAAACAGGTGAAAGTTCATGTGGAAATAAATGTCTTTGACAATCGGCAGAGAAGAAGACAAGCGTTGGTACCAAGTCTGCCAAGTTTAGAGAAGGAAGACCAAATGTGGCCTGGAAATCATGAAAATCCAAGCAATTGTCCTCGCTCTCAACTGAGAAAGATTCATTCAATTCATTCAAGTGCTGGAACGGAGAGTGCCCGCTGAACGGAAAGCCAAGAGAGTCTTGTCAGTCAGCATTTTTTTTCCGGTCCACTTGGACCTGTGAATTTGTCTGCGTGACTGACGAGAGGCCAAATAAGCGGACGGAACAGGTACGAGTCGGCCCTTGCTGGCCTTTGGGCTTAGATTTGATTTGCAAGCCTATTCAGGATATCATCGTCGTCATCATAGGATGCAGAAGTGTTTTCTTCGCGATGTGGCCGTTTGCTCAATGTGAATTTATTGCCCTGATTGCGCAAAGACAAGTTCTCTTAGCTTGCGAGCAGTTTCAGCTGTCATCATTCCGGCGTCCCCAAAACGGGTCGGCGCGAGCGTACGCCGCCGCCCAGTTGAGGTGCTGTCATCCCCTCGCCCATGGCAAAGTGGAGCTTTCCGTTTTGCTGAGAACTGTGATGACAAAACAAATTCCTTCCCTTGTAATTCATCTATTCTCAAAATTCCCATGGAAAGTTCCCCATTTGGACTATTCCCCAAATTTTCCAGACTCACTTCCTGTGGAAATTTACCAGAAACTTTCTGTAAAAAAATAAAAAACTCGGCCACTTTCTAAGCAACTGTGATTCCTGACAACAAGTTGGAGGTTTTGTCATGCACATCCTTGCACACGTTTTCCTCGTGACGCTGATGGAAAGCGACACGACCTCCTCGCCGGTTCCCAAGGTCGCGCCTTCATCTTCCGCTTCCTGGATGTCCCGTACCGAGGTCCCCCAATTCCTGGAAAACCTTGGTGACGAGACGTGACAGATGGCGCCACACGTCTTCTCAAGCATACGCCGCCGCTCGCGGAGCCTTTCAACTCCCCAAATGACCTATGCCCTCTCCGCTCCGAAAGCCCGCGCGCTGGTGGTCGTCTCGGAGGACGGACGGACGGGCGGATGACCGAGGACCTGCGGACTCCAGGTAGCAAGCATGCGTGTCTGTGCCGCGTTTCCGAGCGACTCTTATCAAATATGACAGCATCATCAAACACGATGACGATCATGTGCGCGCTTGTGTCTTCCACATGGGGGGGAGGGCCCAGGGAGGTCTTTATGTCAAAGCCCATCGAAGAACCCACCCATCCATCCATCCATCCATTTTCGAACCCGCTTCTCCTCAGGAGCGTTGCGGGTGTGCCAGAGCCTCTCCCGGCCGTCTTCAAGCAGTAGGCGGGGGACACCCTGAACCGGTTGCCAGCCCATCGCGGGGCACGCATAGACCAACGATTATTCGTGCTCACACTCACACCTGGGCGCAATTTTAGAGTGTTCCGTTAACCTGCCGTGCATGTTTTTGGAATGTGGGGAGGAAACCGGAGCACCCGGAAAAAACCCACCCAAAAGTTTCAGGAAGTCTTGCCAGAAAAGGCCCAGGAAGTGGGCCAGGTGGCATTTCCGGATTCTTTTGCCCATTTCCGACGATCCTCATTGACTATTTGGTCCGATTGCTACCAAATTGCCATCGCGAGAACTGGGCAGATTGTCCGCGCTAAATTGTGAAGCCGATGGAGCTGGAGCACGCTGGCAAATTTTGATGACTCGCCAGCAAAACAGGAACGAGTCCGTCAAAGGGTTTGTCCTGAAGGAAATTCCCAGACTCGCGGCTTTTCCTTTCCCACTCCGTCTCCTCTCATCGAGTCGACCCGGCCGCCCAGCGAGGGCCCGTCGGTGCTTTTCTTCTTATTACGTCGTCGTCGCAGCGCCAACGTTATATGAAAAAAAAAAGGTCAGACTAAATCAGGCTAACTCGTCGCCCGCTTTGAGGTCATGCGGAGTTTAGGGCTAAGAATAGAACTGCATGTTCCAGGACAACCCCCCCAAAACCCCCACACACACTACATGTTCGGCTCCCTCCCCCCCACAACACACCACACACTTGCAACACGCAACCCCCCCGCCAGGCTTTTCCCACACACAATCGCACACACACACACACACTGCATGGAGGCGTCATCAACAGAGTGGGGGGGATGGGGGGTAACGTCAGGTTGAGTGGCCACTCAGGCCACGGGCGCAGAAGCGTCCGTTACAAATCAAAACACGGGCTGGATTCGTTCTGGGATGTTGCGCGCACACGCGCGCGGTGTGTTGCGGGTGCTCACACACTGACCTAGATCGGCGCACGTGCGCTTTGACTGCTTGTGAATGAGCGGCTCTTCCGGTAACGGGGCGGTCCACCGCCGGGCCCCGGGAGGAGCAACTGCTCCACTCAAGTCAGGAGGATTTTCCAACTTGCCGGGGCGGGTAGCCCGGGACCACCGCTGATTTTTCACAACGGGCCCGCTCAGTGAAAGATGAGCTGAGACCTTTTGGGGATAAGTTTGTTTTTACAATTTGTATGTGAAGGAGTTGATTGGATGTGAAAAATTCGTTTCACGCGGAATCCAGCCCTCACGCGACGTCCTTGTCGTCACATCGCTCGTCTTCGCTTGGATTTCTTGGCTTTATTTGAGCAGGTTGACCTCGAGCCTCAACCCAATCTGATGTGTCACCGCCATCGGATTGCGTCATCGGGAGAAGATTTGGATTGTGAACGAGACGGCGGCGCCCAGCCCCTCGTTCGCACGCGCCGCGCCTCGTCTGTGTGTGTGTGTGTGTGTGTTGTGCGTGCGTGGGACGCCGTGGGAGGCTGTGAAGATGCAGGGGTGGCGCCGCGCGTTCCTCGTGGGCCTCCGTCCAGCTTTAATCCAAAGTAGATTAATGGGTCAGTTTAGTCAAGTTCACGCAGGGTTCAAGTGAAGGTTCACGCAGAGTTCAGCTCGCACTCCCACACTGACACGCAGGACGGCGACGCGGCGGAATCGCTGGGCCGGAAACGTGAACGGGGAACACCCGCGCTAACGAGGAAACGTGCGACTTGGGAAACAGACAAACCAAGATCAGGCAACAAGCAAAATACACGCAGTCAAGCGTAAACTCAAACAAATGTGGAACTGTGCCAATGGAACACGGGAACAACCGTGTGGTAAAACAAACGCATCTGCACGTTCCCGCCAGAAATCGGCACAGATCAGGCGCACCTGCACCGCACTCGGGCCTTGAAAAACTCCAAGTGGATCACTGAAGCTTGCAAGTTACCCGAGTACAAACGTTCCACCGAAAAACAACACAAGACCCAAACATGAAAACAGAACCCCACCAATTGCGAGAGATCTGACATCGACGTGGCTTCGCAACGGCAACAAGTGCAGCATGAAACGAGCTATCACAAATGCAAACAACCCTCTGGAGGTAGAAGGGGACGTTTGCGCCGTGGTGGGCGGGAACACCATCGACTTGCTTGCCCTCCAAAGGAAGCGGCTCCCCTCGTTTCCTTGAAATTCGGCGCCCAAGAAGCAGGCGGTCTCCATCCAGGAGATCGCCGCGAGATTTGCCGAACTCCACTTGCGGATGATGTGCAATTGACGCGACCCGGTCTAGGATCGAAAACAAGCTAACGTGATACAAGCGCAAAGCGAGGAGACTTTGGGTGAAGCGCACGAGATGCACAGTATAGGCAACATGTGTGAACGTGGCCTGATTCAAGTTGGCAGCCCTTTAAGAACGCCAACGTACGTACGCCAACCGGAGGACCCTAATTAGCATCATGGGTTGCCATGAGCCACCAAACAACCCCCACCTGACATTTGTCACGTGAGCTGCCAGCCTGCTGCCAGCAGGCCTCACACTGAACTTAACCTCAAGCCGTGCAACTTGTAAATCGTCTCATTTACATTAGCCTGCCTCCACACCGTTGCTCCGCCCACGACTCGGAAGCCAGCCCGGGTGAAGATTCAGAGCAGTGTGAAACGCCAGCACAACAAAGACAACAAAAGGTAAGCGGAGCTGCATTACATTTTGTTCGCCGCACAGTTTTGGTATGTGTTTCACCGATTCATTTGCACGTCATTGACGCGTGCATGCGCTGCTGCTTCTATCAGGGGAAATCGAATCCATGATGCCATGTCGCCTGCTTTGGAATTTGACTTTTTGGAAAGTCCAAGTGCAGCCACGTACACACAGTGGAGGGTGCAAAGGGCTCTCTCCACTGACAAAGGTTTTCTCCCCCCTCCCCCTCCCTACTCTGAGGTTTTCTTCTGCTCACCTCGTCTCAACGCCCTGGTTGTCATGGTAACCAAAGCTGCCATTGGCCCAAAGAGTAGGCACGAGTTGATCACGCCAATAAAACGAGCCAATTAAAAGGACGGCAAGATATAGGCTGAAATGATGAAGGCCACTGACATTTCTTTTTTTGAAATGTTGAACAACAAGAAAATATTTCTTTGTTTTAATCATGAAACTGCACAGCCCCAATTGTTCATGAATTGACACAAAATGTCTTCCACGAGCACATTGAAATGTTGATTCCGTACCAGGACGAAAATGAGATTGACTGTCACATTGTCTACACACACACACACACACACACACACACACACACACACACACACACACACACACACACACACACACACACACACACACACACACAGCCTAATGCGCGCATGTGAGTGCTTACGCTCATCCTCTGTGCTCAGCTGTGTGTGCGCGCGCGCGCGTGTGTGCATTTACACTTGGTTGAGCCTTCTGTTCGGCGCGCAGTCCCTCTCAGTGAGCTGCGTTTTTAGGTCGCAGTGTTCTTTCTGCTGCGCGCGCGCGCACACACACACACGCATGCGCGCGCAGTTACGCAGCAACGTCAGGGGAAGATGCTGTGTGCTACGAGGCGCTTTGGCTGGATGGGGGTTGCTGTTACGCGCCCGTGCGTGCGTGTGTGTGTGTGTGTGTGTGTGTGTGTGTGTGTGTGTGTGTGTGTGTGTGTGTGTGTGTGTAAAAGTAGTCCCAGAGGTCTTGTCATGCATGTGGACGCAAACCAAAGCTGAGAGGCTGTGTGTGTGCGTGTGTGTGTGTGTGTGTGTGTGTGTGTGTGTGTGTGTGTGTGTGTGTGTGTGTGTGTGTGTGTGTGTGGCCGCAGGGCTCAAAGCTTCCACTGCTGCGTAACATGTCGAGTCCTTTTAGTAATGTCACCCCACACAAACACACAAACACACAAACACACACACGCGCCGTTACTCGCGCGCGTACACACATGATGCGAACATGAACATTGGAAACATTGTCGTTGGAAAAAAAAGGCCAAAACGGAACTTTTGACTTCGACTGATCTCTCTAGTCATATTTATTTTAATGCTTGTCATTAAAAGGGGGAAAGAAAAAAATGGGATAACATTTTAAAATAACAGTCTTGCTGCTTTTTCACGTGTGCAAATTTCCCTTGTGGATGAATCAAGTATTTTATTTTCAATTATCATCGACGCGCAGATACATCCAAGAACAAACACACACACACACAAACACTCGGCAATCCGCACTACAAACAAGCACACGCGCAAGTGCACGCTTCCACACACTCACAGAGAAACAAAACCACGGACACACAAACACACGCGAGCACTTTAAATTGAACAGTTCTCATTTGTAATTCACTTCGCGACGATGGGGACGACGATGCGTTGTCATGACAACACGCTTTTGGGATTTGGGCGTTTGACGTGGTTTCAGTGGTGACGTGCTGCCATCTAGCGGCAAGATGAAGCAACGGAAACATTTATGCTCCCAAACAACTGAGTCTATTCAAATACGCCATCGAGAATTACAAGGAAACCTGAATCACGAAATATTTCGTAGTTGGACTGAACATGACGTTATTGCCTGCGTCAACGTCGTGACGGTCTTTCGGGAGCTACAAACAATTTGAAATGATTTCTCTCCCTCCCTAAAACGGCGCCATTGTTTGGTGTCATCAATGTGGAGCCGAGTGGACATGTTTGTATTTTTGAAGGACTCCAAAGACCACCCGCACTAGAGGGAGCGGTGACGCTCGCGCCCCGCACGCGCGCACGCATACGCGCGCCCCGCACACAGCACAGCCGGGGAGCCACGTCTTCTTGGTCTTGCTCGACGTCTTCCTCTTTGCCGGCCACATGTCAACAGGAAGGCAGCTGCTGTCCGTCGACTTTGAAGTCTTCGGACGTGTTCAAGGTTCGCCGACATTGACGGCCAAGTGTGTCTCTTGTCTTGTCTGTCTGCGCGTGCGAGACATGAGCTGCTTCTTAATTTAGCATCGACTGTTGACATGGCTGTCGCTGAGGGGAACATTTGCGTCTTGTTGTTTGTTTGCAGGCGTTTGCTTCAGAATGGTGAGTTGAGCTCATCTCAGGCTCTCTTTGACTGGAACTTTC